ATTTTTTTTATACTGGCCCCCCGTGGGAATCGAACCCACAACCCTGGCGTTGCAAATGCCATGCTCTATCAACTGAGCTACATCCCTGCCGGCCATTCCCTCCCCTACCCTGGACGACGCTGGGCCAATTGTGCGCTGCCCATGAGTCTCCCGGTCGCGGCCGGCGGCGACAGAGCCTGGATTCGAACCAGGATCTCTAGTGGCACAGTTAGCACTGCGATGCAGTGCCTTAGACCACTGCGCCACTCAGGAGTGCATACTTGTCATGGGGCTGTGGATTAGGTGTTGTTAGAAGTTGAGAAGCCATTAGACATATACGAGGAACATAAACATAGTTATTATCCATTAAACAAAAAACAAACAAGGAAATATGATTCCTCAACAGCATATCCATTTTACTGGCGGTACATTCTCCACATTTGTGTTAGAGTACCCTCTTCTGACTGAAATATGTACTGCGTTTTAAGGAATGGTTACAATACTACAGCCGATTGCTAATACTTTCAGGAGCATGATATTGTATTGGTCAATGTCATTAAGTTGTGACTGAATACTTTTAAATGCATAGGCACAAGAGAACGATGACAGTATCAGTTAAAGCTATGCAATTGGTGACACAGTACATTGTTTAGCTACTGTAGAGCAGAGTTCAGGGGGTAGACCAAACAAGTCTCTCTCAGTCCAACACTTTGACCAAGGTCTGAACCGGTTGATGAGGTCTGAACTGGTTGATGAGATCTCTGATGCTACACTACCCCTTTCCTTCCCACACCTAACTATCTCAAGTCGATCACACCTGGGCACACCTCTGATGGCCTTACAGTAGCGCTATCCCACTTCTAACACCAGTACAATCCTGCTATCTGCCACACCTTAGCCATTACACCAAATACATGAATTCACTGGTGTCACACGAAAGAGGATGCCGCTCTACAGTATATCAAGCGGCAAGAAAACAGCAGCTGCAAAATGTAATAAATGTTCATTTCACCAGACATCATACAATAGTTACCTGGCATGAAAGTCACACCAAGCAAGTATTAAAATGATTGCAAAGGTAAGGAGCTTGGATCTTTTGGTAATTTTGTCCCACTTTCTGCAGTGTCGGAACATTCTGTTTTACTTGGTTCTTCAGTGCCATTGTGGCTCTTCAGAATTAGACATTCATGACATTCCGTGGGAGTAAAAGCACTGATCTGTTTGCAAATTCTTTAGAAATGTTAAAGGATGGAAATCCCTTCATAACAATCAAAGTATCAAGTGTGGTGGAATGTTAACACCAATGATTTATATACACATCATTGGTTAACACACATTCAACCTCATTATGTGTCAAAAGGTTAAAGGGATAGTTCACCTAAATTACATATTGGTTTCCTTACCCTTTAAGCAGTCCATGGACAAGGTACGACAACAACCCCTGCTTCGATTTAGTTTCTGTATTGATGTGGTATATGTGTGGCAATTACAGAATATCATTAAAAACATGTTAACTATGGTTGATTGTGATGGTCGTATTTGCTCGCTGTAACCAACTAAGCAATACGGTCTCCATGGCACTGTTTCCACATGCTACTGTTTTAGCATTTGTGGCACATATCCCATTCAAGTCATGGGCCTGATATTAGCATTTTTCGCACATCATGTTCTAATCATCTAAAAGTGACTTTGTTGAGCTTCACAATAAAATGTTTATACTTTCAGATGATTTGAACATAAAATACTTGGATTGGCTACCACTAAGTACTGTGTGGGCTTTTTAGTATTGCATTTCTTACTGAAGCATAAAATGGTCACGATGGGAACTAGACTAGTTAAAATGCTTGGGTTGGCATTCTAGACAGGTCTACTGCGATTGAATGTTAGTCCTGTTACCCATCACCAAAGAAAGTGACAGTGAAAAGGAAACAAAAGAGACTCAGTACAAGTTAATGAACTTTTTTTATATCATACATAAGACCGCTTGAATATAATACAAAGGGCTTGTCCATTTTGTATCTTTTTGTAACATCATATACACAGCAAGTATTGACTAGATCTTACAATCTGTGGACACAGGTACTTTTCCCATGCCGTTTCATCTTAACAGTGCATGTCAAATGTCCTGTAACCAAACTATGTTGTCAATCACTCAAAACCAGACTGGGGGACAGAAAAGAAAGGGTGGCAAGGAGGACAACAAAGCCTTTATTCGAATGAAACAGGTAGCAGAGCAGAAAATATATTGAACACTTCGGAGTAAACGTTGGATGTTTGTTGACGATGCACTGGTTATATAGTGACGATCATGGCTTTCACACACATGTATCAGTAGCCTGACTTCAAATGGACCCACGGTTTAAGCTTATGCCAATTTTAATGCAACTTAAATTAGTTCCTGTAATACGTACATAATTTCTTATGTATTTGTTATATATTAAAACACAGCTGTCATTCAGGTTCGTAGACATACACCCACACACTATACCCTGTCTATAATATTTAAGGTATGCATATCTACTGTCCTGTTAAAATTTAAACCCTACAGGTTTTGCATTTGTACTGGCATTGTCAACTACTTTGGCCTGGAAGCACTGTTACCCATTGACTAATATCACAGAAGAACTTCCACTGCATGGTCTCCACATTGACTTAAATGTACTCAAAATACCATTAGGAAAAAAGTAGTGAGTTCTAAACTTCCTTTATTAAAAAAATATAAATATATACATAAATTCTATTTCAACTATTAAAATGGGGTTGAAAAGTAAACACCTGAAGCCTGTGTTTTCATGGACACCTTTCCTCTAGCTGTTGCCGCCCCTTTCCATTTGCAACTGGAACAAAACGTTAGCCAGTTCTCTCGTATCCTCCGGCATCACACGAGGAGACTGGAGTATGACGCTCCAGCAGACAGGGTTCACTTCTCACGCCATCCATCCCTACTAGTTTCCTTTTGGATTTAACACCCATGGTGAGAGCTTCAGTCAAACACGTGAATTTAAGCTAATTTAGAGCAGTACCCCATCTCCAAATCCATCTAAACATGTGGATGTGTACAGTGCCTCTGCTAGCTAGGTCAAATAGGGTTGCTTCAAAATTGAGGGGGGAAAAGCGGTACCATTTTAGCCACTGCCGTGAAGACTGCCGAAAGTCATTTTAAGGCAGCTTTACCCAGATAGATAGGCATGTTTGAAACGGCCTCTGAATCCCAGGTCACAAATTGAAGGATTAATGCACTGTTGTTCACATTTTTTCCTCTCGACTCATGAGTACGAGGACTTGCCTCGACTCATAGCCACCATACTGATACTCCGGAACCCGCAGAGTAGCAACCAGCGTTGGCATCTATTGTCCCTCAAGTCCTTGATAACGGAAAAAAAGTTATACCAATGAGAGATTTGTTTTTGTTTTTTGTCTTTTTTTGACAACCTTACAACCAATTCTGTCGAGGATACAGCTAACAGTAAATGTATTGAATTCAACAACAGTTCCAGTTTTGCTAAAGCAATAGATACAGCCATTTTTACTGACATTTAAAAAAGGTCTTGATACACCTTGTGTCAAAGTGCAGAACTGCTACATTATTTGTTACAGACATCTATGTGCTATAAAAAACAGCTTTGGTACAATAAATTATCAAAAGGGAAAATAAATTCTTGTAAAATTCACAGCATAATTGTGAGGCAAAAAAAACTGTCACATAAAATTCTGCATGTTTTCATTTTCAAGATGAACAGAAGACATTTGTGCAGAAGCTCTGTTGGAGGAACCACATGCTGAAGAAACAAAGCAAAGAAAAGCAAGTAAAAAGCAGGAAGGGACACAGTCGTAGCTAATTCCATCCATCTTGCAAAAACACTACTTCTGTGACCTTACAAGGCCCAGCAATCACTGGGCCTCGCAAGTCATACATTTTAGTTAAAGGCCTCTTAAATTAGCATTCTCAAAAACACATTTTCTTTCTATTTTTTCTTTTTAAGAATTTTGATTTTTTTAAATCCATACTTTAAAAGTACAGGAAAGATATTTTCTCATTTAAACAATAATGTCCAGCTTCTTTCCCCCACCCTCCCACCCCTCATTTCAGAGTTTAAAAAATCATAAGGCCAAAGGGTTATCTAAAAAAACTGCTACTGCCCGGACATCTGTACTTTAGGTTTGGGAAGGACCGGCCCTGGCTGCTGCTCCTCAGTAGATCTCTTCAGTGTGGCCCTGTTCCAGGGACCTGGTCAGGGCCCCCCTTTACTGCTCTGGGGCTACCCAGCTCTCTGCGGCCCACCTGCACACGTGCTGACCCCGGCTAGAGAGCGCCGGCCGGCCCACAGCTCGCATTGGCACCACTCTCAAACAGAGAAAGAGTGACACAGACAAACCCAGCGAGATGCACCCTCCCTGCATAATGCTTCATTCCTCTGCAACTCTACAGGTCTCACAACTCACAGGTGGAATTGCACAACAGAACAGAGAAATTCAAATGAGAACAAAAAGTACAAAAGAGAAAATTATTCTTGCCGAAGACAGGGGGAAAAAGGCTAATGTGTGGATAGGAGTTGCTGGAAGTGTTATGGTGCTGTAGCAATTTCTTTACTAAATAGCCGTTGGCAAAAGAAGGTCTACGTCATTTTCTAACCACATACTTCTAAGCTCTCAGCTGACAATAACAAGGAATAATGCAAACCATGCAATCAAGTGAGAGGTGAATGTGAAATGATTGGATGTTTCAGTACTGTTGTGAAGTATGCTATGCGAGACAGTTTGTAGTAAAAATCTGTAATTCCCTGTGAACACTGAAAATGCTAGATCGAAAAAATCCCATTTGAAAACCAAAGTGAATAGAGAAACCCAAGGGTGGCATTGGGAAGAGTAGTTGGAGAGATGGTGGGCTCTGCACTGTGGTAGCGGGTCAGTGATAATATCCCCTCTAATTTTAAGCAGCTTTTTGATCTCTATGCACTTTTTTGTTGAAAAAAACACCACCTTAAAAAATACAAATAGAAAAAAAAACATTCTCAGTTTAGTCATGAACTGGCGACAGAACTCTGCTGTACACAGACTCCTGCCATGGGTGACTCCTCCCTGTCTATGCCCTGTCTCATGCCCATGGGGTAGGTGGGGTGGGCCGCCATTCCAGTCTCTTGTCTGGGGTTGGAGAAGGCACCCAGTCCCATGGTCATGCTCCCATTCCTGCCAAAGTCCAAGGCTGCGTTGGCGGGGAGCGGGCGCAACTGGTAGGCCTGGTTGCCCTGGGCCCCGGTGGAGGAGGAAGATGTGGAGGAGGAGGAGGCGGAGGAAGACAGGGAGGTCATGGACAGGTGGCCGTGCACCACCTCCATGGAGTTCTCCGTGGAGGCGCTGTTGGTGGGGGAGCGATAGAGGCGGGGCCGGGGCCGTGCTGGCAGGCCCTGCTGTCCATGAGGGTGATGGTGTCCATGGTGATGGTGTCCGTGGTGATGGTGGTGGTGGGTGGAGGAGCTGTTGCCGGGGGCCAAAGGGTGGATGGCTTTGGGCGCCTGGGGAGGCACGTGGAAGGTGGTCTCCTGGACGGGGTGGGTCTCCACCGTCACTGTCTGCACCCCTTCGCCACCAGCCCAGCCCACGGGGGGAGGGAACGGCTGCCTCGCCTGACACACAACCGCAACACAGTTAGTTAGTAACTCAAACGACTGATAACAGGTCATTTAACTCGGTCTGAAGAACAACACCTACGTCTAGAGAACCCAAGACTTCCCCTGTGGCTATGAGAGGGCTCATCTAGCTCAAATGTGAGTTGAGGTAAAGGTTGTCAACCTGGGTTACAGACTAAGTTGGCCAGGAGCAATAGTGTGTGTGTTTGTGTGTGTGACTTGCCTGTGGGCAGAGATTTTCGCAGTCCATGACCTGCACAGAGGCGCTGAAGTGACCTCCACTGTGCCGGTGCTGATGCGTGGGGTCCGAGCGCGCCCGCCCACTGGTGCTTGTGCCAGACGATCCTCCTGCAGGAAAGAGACCACAGAAGCAGGTTGACATTAAATTTTAATGTTGAACTTTTGAGACAGTTCCATTCTGCCTGAAGGCTCTGCACTACTGTACCTGAGCTGTTAGTTCATTGCTATCATTTCATCATGTCTGATCCAGGGTTTGAAATCCATTCCTGGGGGATTCCCAGTGTGCTGAGCTAGAACAAACAAAGTGAACACCCTGGGGTTCCCCCAGGATTGGACAGAGACACGGGTCTAACATCATGCTAAAGCTTAAAGTGAACACCCACTTCTCCAAGCAGCGTCGCGGCTGCGGTGCTTTCCCTACCTGAGCTGGAGGAGGTGCTGGAGGTGGTTCCCGAGGACTGGGACTGCTCCAGCGCTGGGCTGGTGGACACACTGCTGCTCGTGTTGGTCCCCTCATCTGCTGTCTTCTTGAAGAAGCTGTGCTGCAGGGCGTAGTAGGGCTGGATGCGGCTCTTGGGGTCGTAGTCCAGCATCCGAAGGATCAGGTCCTTGAACTTCAAGTAGTCAGCTACAGTGTGGCCAGACTCGCCTGCCCGCCGCCCCCCAGGACCCCCCGCCTCAACACCCAGGATGCTGTGCAGCTTCCGAGTGCCCGGCGGCTTATACTGCACACACACAGAGCAGAGACTTTAGGAAGATACATACTCACTATTGCAAAGGAGCGTTATGACATCACAACATAATTGACATCAGAGCGATTTGTTGAACTTACCCTTTTGCCATCTTTGGTCTTCTTTGCACCCCACGTACTGTCAGACATCTTCTCAAAGAACTTCCTGGCCTTGGGCGCCTGGTCCAATATGTAATTGGGAGGGACGCCCAGCACTTCCACTATTTTGTTCATTTGATCAATCTGAAAAATCAGGAAGCCATAATTGAGAACATCATCTTATGCTCTTTGGCACTGTAACAGAGTTTTAAATTGCCTGTACCTCAGAGTTAAAAAATATAGATGAAACAGAAATAGCATAACATTTATCAACAATAAAACAACTAAACTACTAAAAAGTTCAAAAGCCCCACAGCTCCCTCTGTTGGTCATTATAAGGTTCTCACTCCCTATGCCTGCAATCTTCACGAAGGCAAAAACTGAACATCTCTCTCATGAGCACAATGATGTAGCAGGACAGCATAATCTGACAAGTTATATCATCCTAAATAATGACTGCATCTTTTCATTCCATGAGTCCTACCTCGTTGGCCCCACTAAAGAGGGGCTCTCCGGTGTGCATCTCCACCAGGATGCAGCCCAGGGACCACATGTCGATGGCCAGGTCGTAAGGCATGCCCAGCAACACCTCTGGGGAGCGGTAGAACCGACTCTGGATGTACTGGTAGATCTAAGGGGAGAGAAAGGGGTCACGGCTGTTAGGACATGGAATTTATGTTCTCCTTTTGTAGGAGGTCAACTATAAAGAAGACAGATGGCAGGTTTTCAGCAGAAATAAAGTTTGTTAGCTACAGTGGTTGTTCCCTCAAGGTTAGAAGAGGATAACTGGTTGCTACAGTTTGTGTAGGGTAGGCCATGTAATGTGCAACCTTTTCCACAAAAATCTGAATGAAAAACATTTGTTTAGTTTCTTTCCACATCATACTCTACCAATCCATCTATCCAATAATACATTAATCCATTAAATACAGAATCCATAGTGGGTCACAACAGTTTGGTGTAATACTTTATCTGTGGCCTGTCAGATCTAAAATTCACCACATGAACCAAGGAAAAACAACTTCATCCTCATTCACCCACCCTCTGTCCCAGCTGGCAGGAGCTGCCAAAGTCCACGATCTTGATGGCGCTCCTCTTGGGGTTGCACAATAGGATGTTCTCGGGCTTCAGGTCACAGTGGATGATGCTGAGCTCGGGTGTGGCCAGGAACAATAGAGCCGTGCACATCTGCTGGGCAAACTTGCGTGTGAGGTTGAGCGAGACGCCGCGGAAGTTGGTGTTCCGCAGCAGGTCGTACAGGTTGTAGGAGAGCATCTCAAACACCAAGCACAGGTGGCTCCGAAACATGAAGTGGCGCTTAAGGTGAACTGGGAAGAGAGAGAGGAGATATGAGAGAGAGAGAGAGAGAGAGACAGAGAGCGAGGGAGGAGGAGAGAAAAAAAATTATACTAATGAGCATGTGTTGAGTGAGGTGGGTTTTGCACGGTATACTAGTGATGTTAACATACATATGGCAATTGGATACTCTTGTCATTGACTAGCGCATGTCAATTGGCCTGTTTCCCAGACACAGATTAAGCCTCATCCTGGAGTAAAACACATTTTCAATGGGGTTTCACCCCAAAAAAACGCCCCAATATGTATCAGGTAGATGGCGCACTTACATCGAGATGTCTTGGGGTCTTTCTGGTATTTCTATGGTAATGACTCCATCACAAAGTTGAACAGAGGTCAAGTGTATGTATATACACTACCGGTCAAAAGTTTTAGAACACCTACTCATTCAATTATTTTTTAAAAAACTATTTTCTACATTGTAGAATAATAGTGAAGACATCAAAACTATGAAATAAAACATATGGAATCATGTAGTAAACAAAAAAAAGTGTTAAATCAAAATATATTTTATATTTGAGATTCTTCAAATAGCCACCCCTTGCCTTGATGACAGCTTTGCACACTCTTGGCGTTCTCTCAACCAGCTTCACCTGGAATGCTTTTCCAACAGTCTTGAAGGAGTTCCCACATATGCTGATCACTTGTTGGCTGCTTTTCCTTCACTCTGCCGTTCGACTCATCCCAAACCATCTCAATTGGGTTGAGGTCGGGGGATTGTGGAGGCCAGGTCATCTGATGCAGCACTCATCACTCCTTCTTGGTAAAATAACCCTTTTTTGGTTACTACATGATTCCATATGTGTTATTTCGTAGTTTTGATGTCTTTACTATTATTCTACAATGTAGAAAATAGTACAAATAAAGAAAAACCCTTGAATGTGTAGTTGTTCTAAAACTTTTGACCGGTAGTGTATGTACAGTGCATTCGGAAAGTATTACTACACTGAAAACTGCTTGCTTCTAACCCAAGCAGGTCAAAAGATCTGACCCATATTTGCGGAGCAGCATTTTTATCTTCCTATAGCAGATCACCGGGACCACATTTTGCATTCATAAACCATGCCATAGGCTGTTCTAAAACTACTCGCACATCGTTTAGACTTTGTTTAGTCACGTTACCTCATTGGTTAGCTAGCTAACAACCTGGTAACTTTACCAGTATATCCAAACATTTGGAGCACAGCTTCTTCAGGAGATCAATGATCAAAGCAATGAATGAATGAATGACAGATCTCTTTCATGTATTCATCACAACTATGATGTTTTTAAAGAGACAGTGTACAATTTTCAATGTAATGCATCTCAATAGGAAAAGTGCTTTTACACAATGTAGAAACCTAATATTCCACAAATGACTTATTTCAATGACAGGTATTCATATCAATATTTTAGCTTTTTATAATAAACAAATGTGTTTACAGTGTTACATATTAGTTTCTAGGGCACAACATGTGCTTCAAAAGTAGATAGAATAGAGCCCTGCTTATAGAGACCACCTAATGAATATGATTTCTTAGCTGGAGATAAATAATGCATGAAAGTGAGAAGAGCGAGAGAGAAAGGTGTATAGAAAGAAGGGGAATCCGGCCTTACCTATGTAGTACTTCATCTCCGTGTCATGTTTGTTCATGAGCTCGAGGAGCCGCACTTCAATCTGGGCTTGATTTAGAAAAGCCTTCTTGTTCTTGATGATCTTAATTGCCACCCACTCCTGCTCAACACGGTCATACGCTTTTACAACCTGGAGATAGAGGGAAGCCAAACACAAATCATCGTAAACACAATGAGCCGGACGGAAACGCGTGCACTGAACAAGGGGGATGGGGTTCTGATTTATCAAAGCCTCTTCAGTCACACACACACACTTCTGCTAACTCAGCAGATACCTCCACACTGTGTGAGCCTATGGTTAAACACTCACGTATCATTTTTTAAATCAAACATATGATTAAGGATTACACTGTTAGTGTACACCGGTTGTTCACGAAGCATGTGACAAATTACAGGCCTCCTGTAGCTCAGTTGGTAGAGCATGGCGCTTGCAACGCCAGGGTTGTGGGTTCGATTCCCACGGGGGCCAGTATGAAAAATGTATGCACTCACTAAACTGTAAGTTGCTCTGGATAAGAGCATCTGCTAAATGACTGAAATGTAAAAATATGTCAATCTTAATGACCATTAAAGACCTGGTGTGGTGGTGGGTGAAACAATACCAGGTGAGCTTCTGCAAAATGGTAACTGCTCCACTGGTGGTTGACAATACATTTCATCATGTGACTCACCTGTCCAAATGAGCCTTTGCCTATCAAGGAGTCGATCTCGTAGCGGTCCATCCATTTCTCCCCATTCTTGACGATGTAGTCGTAGTTGTCGTCATCGTAGCCATCGTTGAAGACCTTCCTCTCCTTTTTGTGACTGGAGTCGTCGCCCTGGCCCTGTTGGTGTCTCCGCTTCTTTTTTGCATAGTATACCTGCCGACAAAAGGTGTTGCTACCAGATTACCCATCAGGTAGGTGGCACACTGAGCCTGGAAGGTGGTTGCTAAAAGGTAGGCCCTGACCACCACTGTGCAGTATAAGTTGAGATTGCATGGGATCTTGTAACTATTCCATTCAAATATTTAAGTGGCTCAGTGCAGGCCTGATTCTACCCTCTTCAGGCCTGCCAGTTGTGTTGCCCACAAAAATTTGAATTTTATGAATCACAACATTTCTGAGTAGTGATCCATCCTTTTGTGTGTGCGCGCATGCCCCCTGGCCTTGAGCGATCAGAGTTCCAGGTACAGGTGCAGTGTGTGGCGGAGGGAGAGTGGTGGAACTTACCTCGTTGATACATTTGTAGGTTTTGATCAGGTCAATAGAGAGCTTCCTCAGGGGAGCCGAGGACGGGTCGCGAAAGCACTGGGGCATGCGCCTCTGTAACATGACAACATCAGGGGTCACCTTAAAACAGACGCACCAAACACAGAGAACATCACCTTTTCAGAAACAAACAGACACACTCACCTTTTCTATCTCATCAAAACGATTCATTAGATCACCCGTCTTCAGCTACCATCAAGTGCATCTGTTTTTATGTGGCAAATGTTGCTATTCATGATGTCATTTCTTCACCATACTCAAGTGGGAGGATTGACACGGGGGGCAATATACAGTAGGACAAAACTATCATGTAGGGAACTCAGTCGTGTGGACCTAAATTTGAGCTTTGATGAGGGCCTGATATCAGAGACCCACACACGTGGCCAGCAGCCACTGTACAGAGGTCATGGGCGTGTTTGACAGCACTCCGCAGCTTATTTTGGTAACTGTCGTCAGTAATAAAATCAAGTGGAAAATCACACTCTTTATTATTAGTCCACTGTCCTGGACACGCAGGTCGTGATGTTCCCTGTACAGTAAGAATAACCCCTGCGCTCACGCAGGGTCGGAATACATTTTGAGAAGTGCCCTCTACCAGGAACAGAAAGGCAGACCGCAAGCGGTGTCGTGTAAGGCAGGCACAGGCCACAGGGCTTGGGGTTAGCACCACTGTGTGCGAGTATGTGTGGGGATGTTTTGGTATAGGCTATGCGTAATGTTTTTGGTTTGTGTGTGTGTATTTATGTCAATGTGTGTGAGTATTACTGCATGCTTATGTGTGTGAATGAGCATGTGTTTGTGTCTAGCTGTAGCTAGCGTACCTGGCTGGCGATAGACTGCTGCGCCTGCTCGCTGTAGGGCAGAGCCGGCACAGACGGGTCAGTGGTCTGCTGGTGCCGCTCACTGTACTGCTGGTGCGAATGGGGCATGGGAGCAGCCATCTGAAGCCCAGCAGCGTGGAACGAAAACGAGGGGGCAAGCCGGACAGATGAAGGTTTGCATGCTGAAGTCTCTCCTCCTGAAAGAGAGGGACAGCTTCTGATCGACACACATTCAATAGGTTCTCACAAGGCCCCATTCTCAGTCATCTCAGTGTGAACCCTTGCAACGGTGTTCCTTTAAATAAATACTACAACATAAAAAATTATGTAATTGTGGTTGGAATAATCAGTGTTTGTATACTAGAGCAAGTATTTTACCATCAATCTTTTACCAGTGATTATTCCATAGGCTACCATCAACCGACTTCCCATTTCCCATCACCATAAACCTACCGACAAGAAAAAAACTACAAAAAGGACCATGGCAGGGACATGATGTAACGCCTGCACACTAATAGAATATTTCATCACATCCCTGCATGATGGCCAGAAATAAAAAAGCATGCCTTGTTCACCAGATTTTAAGTGAATAATTGATTGGGGAAACTATTACAAAAGCCCCAAAGCAATAGCTGCAACATTATTCATAGGGCAAAAGAGGAGCACAACAATGTCAAAGAAAAGAGTGCCGTTCGATAAGTTGAGACATGATGGGCTATGAAAATGGGTTGGAAAAGTAAGTTCTTCTTTAATCCCTCAAATAGCCCCTCTACACACCATCATATTCCCCCCCAAATCAGCAGTAGCCTATAGCCTAACTCAAGATTTTCTACAAATGATTAAAATAGACCTGTTTATAAACATTATGACGTACAGTAGGCCTTAAATGTAACTAAACTACAGAGAAAGCTGCTTAAAGAAATGCTGAAGCAAAGTGCTCCAGGGCAAAAAAGTACAAAGACAGTCCCAAATAGCTAGCTGACTATTGCATTTAAAATGTCAATGAAATGTGAATGAATAATGGCACAGTTTTAGTCTTTTACGGCATCCTGACTCTCGTCTGGACTCATGGCATATGAGACCTTCGAAGGAAACTATATATTCTAGGAAATATTCTAATGTGGTGTGCTCAGCAATACTCGAAGATAGCTTTTTTAATTAAATCCTAACATACCCAGATACCACACAAACTACAAATCACAGTAAATGGCCCTGAGTTGCTTTGTAAAGATAAACTGTGACATTCTCTGTCCTGTTGCACAGAGTTGCTCCTTGGCCAGTGGCATGCAGGATGAAATCAGATCACAAAAAAGCAGCAGCACATGATGATGACGACAGTCTAATGTGTCCTACAGCACCTCGCGGCTCGCTGGAGTTTTTGCTCCATCGCCCTCAGATCAGGTTTCATCCCAAACAGGAGGGACCCAGAGTACACAGCCCACACAGCCATGCTTTTGTCACAAGGTTGCTCTCGCTAACACTCCAGATGGTGTCTCAAACAGCTGGAGAGAAAAGTCAACGGAATGATTAGCAGTTACACGGCAAAATGAAACATAGCTAGGGCCCATGTGGAAAGGTCTGTGCATTCAGTTTTTTTAGTCAGGGTTACCAGAGGAGGAAGGGGTAATCTTTGATCATGCTTCGTTAAATCAAAGAAGAGGGATGAGGGGGAGGGGGGCTGTGGAGGCTCTCAGTGAGTGGACCCTCTCAGTCTGAGTCGTCTGCTGGCTAGTGACTCAGCATTATGACGGGAGCATCAGCCGAACTCAGGCCTGCCTGCCTTTTACCTACCCTTCCCCTCCACCACCTCATCACACTGAGGGCTGGAAAACCGCTGCGTCACCACACACAACTCATTCCCAAAAGCTGCTTTGACAGCGTAGCCGAGAGAGAGGCAACAAGCGAGCACAACGAGCTGCCGTCTGATGCTATAAACAGCAATCGGACATCACCTTTCCCTTAAATCCCTGGGTAACGTCATCTTTCAACGCATCACTCTGGATTATATTTTTCTAATCCCTGCTGCTGCTGCAATTACTGTTCAGTTTCCACGTTGCTGTAGTCAAGGAACTTAAAGAACTGCCAAAATACTCTAAATGAAAGATCGAAGCAGCGTTTCAAAAAGTGAAAGCAGATTTAAAGGTCATGCTTTTATCAAGTAGGCAATATGCTTTCTGACTAATGACTACACCTTACGCAATCAAGTAGCTTTCCAACAGAATAGTGCTTGGTGTGAACATTGCTTCATATAACCCCAACCACACCGTTAACTTTTTTGTGTGTAGAGGGACCTTAAAAATTATATAATTGAAGAGTACAATCAATGACTGTATTAGGGGTGGCCTAAAAACAGGCAGCTAGCGTCTTAAAATCTTTCTATTCAAGCGATTGCTTGCCTGCTTAATATGCACAGATATTCATGATAAGGTTAAAATCCTTATCATAGCACAGATCCATCACTGTAATATCGCAAAAATATTTCACTTTGTGTGACATGCACGGACACTAAAGCGCTGTAATACTCCCAAAACTTCCAGCGGATTGTCTCCAAATTTACCATGAGAAGGTGGCGAGTCATGCAGATATTATGTAGCCTAAACAGCACAAAACATTCGTACACATGGTAATCACGAACTTCAGTAATTCAAACTCATTTTTGAACTACTGCTGAATATGAACATAAAATCTGTCTGGATCAACAAACAACAGCATGTGAATGATTTGGAAACATTTAAATATTACATTAGTGAACTTTTTACAATTTCTTCCAGAAACCAACTAAGATTGAGTCCACTATACTTGTGGAGGGGCTGGCGCAATATGGTATGCCAGATGAATGATGGGCTGTGATTGAAGTGATAGGAGTTTGGTGGCTGTTATGATTAGTTAGAAATCTATAGATCTTAAACTATCCATAAAATCTAAAAACTCTTAGGTGTTTAGCCTTCAATTAACTAATTAGGCTACTCAAAAGGAAAATAAATGTATCCCAAAGAATTATTACATTTACATTTACATTTAAGTCATTTAGCAGACGCTCTTATCCAGAGCGACTTACAGTTAGTGAATACCTATTTTTCTTTATATATACTGGCCCCCCGTAGGAATCGAACCCACAACCCTGGCGTTGCAAACGCCATGCTCTATCAACTGAGCTACATCCCTGCCGGCCATTCCCTCCCCTACCCTGGACGACGCTGGGCCAATTGTGCGCCGCCCATGAGTCTCCCGGTCACGGCCGGCTGCGACAGAGCCTGGATTCGAACCAGGATCTCTAGTGGCACAGTTAGCACTGCGATGCAGTGCCTTAGACCACTGCGCCACTCAGGAGTACAAGGACAACAATTACATGGACAACTGGCTACCGATTCAATATGTAGCCTATACTTTTTTAGTTTCTAACCTCATCATATCCACAATGGAAATATCCTATAGTATTTTTTCCACCCCAATAATCCTTAATTAACCACATATGCAAAAATAAATGTCTATAGACGTTTCACTTAATAGTTCAGGTGGGCCTTCACGCTTCAGCAAACAAAGGAGAGGAAGGGTGCTCAACAACAACAAAAACCATGAGAAGGTCTTACCAAGAAAAAGTTCCAAAAGGACTAATTCGAGGCAAAAAGGAATGGGAGCACTCAACAAAAAAATAAACGTCAGTCACCTGTTCGCATCCTGTACAATGGATTAAAGTGAGCTAAAAGAAATCGATCTCTGCTTTTTTTGTTGAGTGCTCCAACTACTTTCTGCCTCGAATTAGTCCTTTTGGAAGTTTTTCTTGGTAAGCCCTTCTCACGTTACACTTAATGCGTACTTCACATCCAGGAAATGTGTGATTTTCCAAGTAGTGATATTTAGCAGTCACAATCTGGGATACTTTATTTTGTGTACTGGTCATTTAAATTAACGATATATGCCCCACGCCTCGACCTTAGCACAACTGTCTTACCCTATTATAACCCAAAATATAAAATTGCATTACTCCAATGTTTATGCAGTTGTTTGCATATGCCTATTGTAGATAGGTAGTGGTGTAATAATGTCATATGATGTACTGTTTTATATTTTGTTTTATATGTAATGTAAGTGCTTTAATATGTTTGGACCCCAGGAAGAGTAGCTGCTGCCTTGGCAGCAGCTAATGGGGATCCATAATAAATACAAATACATCAATAAGGGATCATTGCTTTCACCTGGATTCACCTGGTCAATCTGTCATGGAAAGAGCAGGTGTTCATAATGTTTTGTACACTCACTGTATATCACAAGACAACATTTTTAATATGATCAAAGCCACCTAAAAACATTTGGCCTATTTTGTCATTAATTCACAGGTCACTTTTAGGGACTTCTGAGGTTTGGCAAGTTCTCCAAAATAATATTAGTGCTTTGACTGAACACTTTTCCAAATTATTTCTACTGAAAGCATTCTCATATAGTAAAATCTCAGGTCTGATAACATGTAAAAAATAATTATATGGCATGTACACATGTATCTGGCAATCAAAATTGTAATAGGAATAAGGTGAAAAATATGTAGTAGTTAAGATAGATGACATTAGCAAAGACATTCCAGTTGCATCAGTTATTTTATTTGACTGATTCAACTGAGCAGTGAAAGCAAGCCTATAGCCCAGTAATCGAATCTACTCAGTTCTATTTTGAAATCTCAGTCTGTCTGCAGTGAGTGGGAATTCTGCAGATCATTAAGTACTCATTTATCAACGTCTCTCACCAGGCAACACAATGCAGCAGAATCACACAGAGTAACCAGCCTTCTGAACCCCAGCAACAGTACCTAATTAGCATAGCCTACCACCAAGAAGAAACTGTGTGATTGGCTTGTGCTTTCTCCGGGTTGCCCAATCAGAAGAGAGTATGCAAATACCCTACTTTTGTTGCTAGGGCAAAGCTCCGCTCTATTGTCCAATAGGAAAACAAGTTATAAACAAGAAACTGAAAAATCACTGTCACATTTCCAAGCTTTTTTTTAACACATTATTTGCTGGATGAAATTAATGTAGCAGTTTAGAACCTGGAGCCAGTGTCTCAAATAACAGACCTCTAGCAAAAGTCTGACCTAAGGTAAGGGAGTGGAGACGAGTACCAAAACCGTGATGGGAAAGAGTGACATTCTGAATGCTTTTTTGCCTGATATTATGAATTTGGTAATCTGAATGAAATTATATTTAGAAAAACAAAATCTAGAGTTAAGTTTTTTATAATACCAGAACACAATGTATTTCCTTCAGACAATACATCATGAATAACAGCATAAAAAAATGTAATAATAAAAAAGACCGTCTCAATTTGATGAATACACATTTGAAATAATTTCCTCTTAACTTTTGGTCTAGGCTACTGTTCTTTTTAATAGAGAATCAATATACACTACTGTATTTCTGGAGGAGCATTTTTGACTGCTTCAATACAATCTCAGCAAAATACATTAATGCACAATTTAAAGCTTGCTTGGTTGATTCTACTAGACAGCATGAGTATGCTGTTGGGAAATCCAACCGGGCTGAGGCAGCACATTTACGATTGCTTTTACAGTAAACTGGCATTCCAATTTTTTCTTGACAGGCAGGTGTAATCTAGCAAAAAACACTCTGAAAAGAGGAAAAGGTGAGGCCATGTCTTCTTCTCCCTCAACACTGGGCCGAAGTTTAGTGGCAACTAAAGTGGAGTTGAGCTATAGTCCACCAGAGGTCAATTGAAACTATAGCTACATCAGTTTCAATTGATTCATCAAATCATGGGAGGAGTTTCATAATTACACAAACAAACTTGGCCTAAGAGTCAAACCTGGAGTCTGTTCATCAACTAATTTATGTATTTATTTGTACATCTTATTTACGCATTTCTGCCTTCAATATGATAATACACTTTTATCCTTTTTTGTAGATACTTAGGTAATTTTTTTGAGAATCTGAAACGTGTCTTCTGCCTAGAACAAGCCCCCTGCTTCCACCCCAAATACACACATATTGAAAGGCACAAAGCAGCGCCCCTGGATGGACAGCAGTTTAGGGGTAAAATGCCTTGAATGGCAACTACACCACTTTTCAACCTCCTTTTCAACAAATATGAAAACAGTGTATTTCTACATTTTGTAGAAAAATACAATGTTAAAACGTTCTACCCGATGACAACAGTGATTTTCAAACACTATGAGATTCGCGGTGACGTGGAGAGCAAGAAAGTAGTGTCCCTTGGGCTAGAAACTTCTTGCAGGTTTAGAAAATCAGTTTTTTACTTTTAATCCTAACCTGTGATGTCACAGAGAAGCATAATTCTTTCAATCTTATCTTTTTAACCACAGATCATAGAAACGCACTGTTTTCACATATGTAGACACTTGTTTGGTGCTGGAGATTATGAATGAGGTTGAAAAGTGGCGGAATTGCCCTTTAAGTGCCAGTTCAATTCCCACTTTTTACACCA